AACGTGTAGCACAAAAGTGGTTTGCTTGGTTCTGTTCCGGTAATATCGATGTAAAAGATGTACCACGCGTCGGGAGGCCTTTCGTCGAAAATTGCGTTAAAATCATGGAAATAGTGGAAACAGACCGTCACGTGTGCACTTATTTAATTTCTGAGGAACTTAAGATAAGCCAGAAACCCGTTTGGGACCACTTGCATAATCTTGGATTCAAAAAGGAGCTCGAAGTTTGGGTACCACACGAACTAACGCAAAAAAACATGATGGACCGAATTTCCATCTGCGAATCGCTCCTGAATCGCTACAAAATCCAACCGACTGGCGATGAAAAATGGGTCACTTAAGACAGCATCGAGCGCAAACGGTCGTGGACAAAGCTCGGGGAAGCGGAAACGGTCCAGACGGTGGCCAAGACCGGATTAAGGGCCAGAAAGGTTTTGCTGTGTGTTTGGTGGGATTGGCAAGGAATCAACTACTACGAGCTGCCAAGCCACACACGACTTTGGTGACTCGCCAGAAGCTTCAGGAGCTCGGATGGGAGGACCTAATGCACCACATTATATTTAGTTAATCAATCAATGCGATCGGTTAAAATTGGCTACACCAACAAGATATGTACAGCACCCATTGCTTAGATAAGAGGTTTATCCAAATAAATCAGTAAATAAAAGAGCACAGATGAATAATACAAAACATGCATACATACATATGTAGATATTTACAACTAAAGTTTTCACTAATAGTTTACAGTGATAAAATTATTAAATATTTGCTCTACATACAACGAACGTTGGTAATGTATGTATGTATGTATGTATATAAAATAAAACAGACTCACAACTGAAGTATTAATATCATTTGCAAACAATCGCTAGATGAGTTGAAAATTGTCCTCGTTGGACTATTGAAACCAATTAAATTTATTAAAATATACTACTTTGAATTCTTGGGACACTAACGCACATTATTAATCATTGTATTGTATTTAAAAGGATTTGATGTTTCCTTGATCAATGGGAAATTGGCACTGTACTAATACTAACCTGTCGCAAAAAAGAACTATCCTGTAGTTCGTCTGATTGAAAAAAAAAAACTCCCGATAAACCGAAACAAATAGTTTATCAAAGTTCTAAAACAATTTTGTTAAATATCTAAACTAAGGATTATTCAAAGACTTAAGTAGATTTTATGTAACGTATATATGTATATGTGTAAATTTAGTAACATTACAACAGTACAAACCTTTTTAAATTTGACTTATGATTATTTCTAAATCAGAAGAATACAAGTTTTTGCGTCATTTACTTAGTACTACTCTAAGATCTTATATTTGTCTTCCAAAAAATATGGAGTACTCAACAGTGAAGGTGTCCCAATATCAATCCGGAAAGCAGAAGATATAACCAAAAGTACTAAAAGTTGTTTAATATTTCGAGTATTTGAAATTTATTCTTCAAAAAAAAAAAACAGACCAAAACCATAGCGTCAGCTACTAAGCTATGTATATGTATGTGTGTTCTTACATCGTTCGTAGTAAACTGATGGTGGCGAAATGTAAGCATCAAATTTTTAGCCATAATGTATTTTATATCAACTATTTCAATATTGATTCTGCTATCATTTTGTCAACTTAATTTATATTAAATGCACTCGGTTGTACAATCCTAAATTTAAATTACTTATCTTTTCCTCTTTTGTTTGATGAAATTGTGAAAACATTGTATGTAAAAATAATATATTGGGTTGCCCTAAAAGAAACCAAGGATTTTTCATGCAGACGGCGTTGACTATTTAATTGTATTTTTCTTCTTTTTTTTTTTTTGACAGTCATAAGCAGTCACTTTTAGCTTTTCGCCATATTTTACTCTATTATTTTCTTAAATGAAGAAATACAGCGCAAGTTGCCAAAAAGTTGCATAATATTAATGGTGAAAAGACCGTAAAAGAAACACAGTACCGAAGTTGGTTTGTCGAATTCCGATCGTGAAAGTTTTCACTCAGAGATAAGCCACGTTCAGGTCGGCCAAGTGAAGTTGATGTTGACGATATCAAGGCCTTGATCGAATCGGATCGTAATGCAACTGAGCGTGAATTTGAAGCGAAGTTAGGTATACCAAACTCAAGCATTCATAATCACATAAGACCCCTTGCGCTTGTAAAAAAAATGAATATTTGGATAGATGGATTAAAAGACTTATGGTATGCATCTTAAACGCATGGAATATGGAACATTTTTGAAGCGAATCATAACTGGAGATGAAAAATGGATTGCTTACAATAACGTGAACCGAAAACGTTCATGATCCAGGCATGAAGAAACGCCAAAAAATTCTTGTACTTCAAAGGCTAATATTCATCAAAATGAGACTATGCTGTCAGCTTGATGGGACACAAAGGGTGTGGTATATTTTGAGCTGCTTCCAAGGAATCAAACGATTAATTCGAATATCTACTGTAAACAACTGGACAAATTGATTACATCCATCAACGAGAAGCGGCCAGAATTGGTTCATCGTAAAGGTCTCACTTTCTACCAGGACAATGCCAGACCGCACACATTTGTGGTCACTCGCCAAAAACTGAGAGAGCTTGGCTGGGAACTGTTGTTACATACACCGTATTGCCCTTACCTTGCATCGTCAGACTACCATTTGTTTCAATCTTTGCAGAACTCATTAAATGGTAAAACTTTCGGAAATGACGAGGCTGTAAAATCGCACTTGGTTCAAAAATGTATTTGCTTTCTGTTAAAGAATCGCCGGTTTCTTTTAGGGCAACCTAATATAATATACGCATATCGTTCAAAGTATGGCTTGCAAGTCTAGAATTGTTATTGCCTTATGAATCAATTCTGATTTGACAAAGAAAATCAGCTATTAGCAAGAGTAGCAAAAGTTACAAAACTCCACGCCACTCGGTGAAGACGGTTAAACAAATTCTACCCTAAAGATGGTTAGATGGACGAGTAGCCGAAATATATTGGAACACAAAATTAATATCGAGTTTTCACTTCAACGTCTCAAATAAATGTGGTATATCTCCTGATATCTTGTAGTGGCTACCGCTGCAACAAGTCGATTACATCGAGGTCGGTAAAGCCTTTTTGATGACGTAAAATCCCAGCTATTAGGCTTCGAAAAAGATCTGGATGCGTTATCATATATTTTGCACCCGACAAATGATATCACAATTCGCTATGGTGAAAACTTGGTACAGACGGCTCGTAAAACTAAAACATTTTTCGGTCGCCGTTAAGCACTTTGTCGGGCCTCAGTACAAAAATTGGTGAAAAAAATGTTGAGGCAAGCAAAACTGTCACATCTGGAGCTGTTTGTTGGAAACCCTCTATATCCTCAACGTATAACTGTTCGGTGCGGTTTATGATCCGATGGAGTCTCTATTTTTGCGAAAATGAGGCTGGAGGAACGGCTACGGCGAATGGATTGCGCTAGCGAGAGCTGATTAATAATTTTTTTATGGCCTAAAATGGACGGTATTGATGTGGACAACGTTTACTTTCAACAAGACGATGCTACGTGCCACACAAGCAACGAAACCATCGATCTTTTAAGAGAAGAGTATCCAGACTGTGTTATCTCCCGAAGAGGTGATCGTAATTGTCCAACGAGATCTTGCTTAACACTTTAACACTTAGTCACTTTTTCTCTTGGGGTCACGTTAAAGGTAAAGTTTATGACCACAGGCCAACGTCGATTTGAGAACTCAAAGGTAGAGTTCGTGAAGCTATTGTAGGCATATAGCAGTCACTTAGCAAAAATTTTATAAGAAGGATATAGTCTTGTAAGCATAGCCGTGGCGGTCATTTGGCTGATATTGTTTGCCATTAGTAATGCAACTCTTTACTTTGGAAGAAACAACGGATCATTTATCTCAAAAAATTAATTTTTCTTTGAATATCAAAATAACACCTCTAATTCGAAATCTTAGCGCCTAATTTTTTAATCAACGAAAGAATGTATAATTATAACCTAATTTGCCACCTAAATTGTCTTAATTTGAGCATGTGAGTATATACATATATCAATACATACATACATATTTATGTATATGAAAACTTTACGACTGGAAGATAGCATCTTGGTTTTTTTTCTTACTTTAATAATTACTACCACAATTAGAAGCTTATTCTTCACGTTGCGGATACCATTTACAAAAATTCACATAATATTTCCACTACAGCTCAAGATTTCATTTTTCATTGCACGAAAAGTTTCCAGCACGAGCTTGAGCGATGCGGCCTTTTTCGAGAATTTTGATCAAAAATGTTTGACTTTTTTCTCAGAATTTTTATCTATATTTTCAATTTATTTATGCAAAATGTAAAACTCATTTAAACACTAAAGTAATTTTTACAAACATTTGAGAACAGCGAGAGAAAATCTTTTATAAGCTATCAGGTACCCAAATTAATACAAATTGCCCTCTCTACCCCTGCAGATTCCAAAAGTGCTTTAAAACTAAGCTTCATGTTTCAATTTTATTTTTTTCTCTTGGGGGCAATTTTTTTATCGCTTATGATGAGTAAAATCTTTTTAGTTCACTCAATGCGTAAAACCTAGATACACTCGTTTATGCACGAATTCTTAAGAAAATATGACACCATTTATGTACGCTTGATCTATACGGTATTTAGCCTCGCACAAATAAAACGATTAAAAAAAATTATAGCAATGCAGACAATAAAAAATAAAATTCAAATGCAACAAAAATATTAAATGAAATTTCTTTCGAGTATGAAAAATATCACACAGTTTAGTTAGCAATGTTACGGAATGAGTATACATATATAAATATAAATATTTGTGTGTGTTTGTGTTGGTGATGTTGTTGGCGTTGGTAGGGTACATGAACACAACACAAAGAACTGAGCAAATGTTATTGTTTGACACGCACATGACAACACAAGGATAATGATACAGGGATGCAAGTTAAGCCTAACAGAAAACAGAATGCAAAATGTCTATAAAATGTCAACGACATACCTGTTGCTGAGGTGGCGTGGATGTTGTATTTTTGCCACTTGCTGACGTCACATCTGCGGTACTGGCGGTGACCAAAGCCGGTGACACAGGTGGTGATGTCGTGGTCGTCGCGGTTGTGCCGGCAGTTGGCAATGTTACTGTTGGATGGGTTGGCGGTGAGGAGGCTAGACCAATCGAGGGGTTGGTATCGAGTGTGTGTTTTGAAATGACAACGGTTGTGGTCTTTTGAATTTTATCTTGATCGTGATGTTCAGCTGGTGACTTGGGTGGAACAGTGGCGAATGCATCGGCGGCACGAACAATTTCAAGAACCTAAGCAATGCAATAAAGAAAGAAAAAAATAGGAAAAAACGAGACAAAAAACAAAAGCATTGGAAGCCTTAGAAAACAAACGGACAAGTGAGATTTATTTATGTTGATACCTTTTCGGGCGTGCTCTTCTCTTTTGTTTGCGCCAATGTTTTGTCTGAATTGGTGAGTGTAGCTAGTGAATCTGGAGGATTTGATGGTATCTGTGGAATGCTACTCTTGGATGTATCGCTTTCAGTTGCATGCTGTTGTGGCAAAACGCCTACGCTCAGTGGTGTGGTGGGTGAGTGGGCCAATGCCGCCACAGATGCCAATACTGATGGTTCGTTATTCGATTCGGTTTTCGGTGGAAAAACTTCAAAATCCTTAGAGAAAATGAAAAATGTATATATATATGTATTATATATGTATTATATATGTATATATATTATATACGTATATGTATTATATATGTATATAAATATATATGCCTTTAAAGGCCTTAAAAACAGATCTCCTCCAATATAGGATAATTTTCACGACTTTTGGATATTGATTTCATCAGATTATAACAAAAAATACCCTTTTTAATTTAAAGAGATTATGTCTACATACATATATATTTAGATTCAAGGTTTAGTTGATATTATATAAATATGTTTTTAGGCATTTTTTCCACAAAAAAGTCATTTTTTTTTGTTCTTCTTATGCTTACACTTACTTGTCGTATGCGTTCATCTTCATCACGTTCCAAGCTCGACATGCTTTGGCTTTGGCTCAGTTCGGATCCAGTTTCGGAAGCACGAGAACCTTTTCAGCAAACAAACAAGAATGGAAAAAATACAAGAAAATAAATGTAAAAACTGTTTTGTTTGCGATGAAATACATTTGCATTATTAAAAAGTAATAGTAACAGTGCATGCAAATCCAACATAATGCAACACACCAGCGATTGGCTGCCTAACACAACACTACCACCTTCAACATCCAAAGGCACTGGTAGTACATGAAATCCATGTTTTTATGCACATACGTACCATGTCGGCTGCTGGATGTACTGATGCCTGTGCTCATGCCGCCAGCTGCACCTATGGAATGAATTAAATTGGATTTGTCATATCCCTTGCACGCGATCAAATGAATTTCATTGCCAGCATTGCGCAGAATATTCACAGCATCCTGATGTGCGGCGCCCAGTAACGAATTTCCATTGACTTCCAATAGCCGCATACCAACCTAAAAGTAAACATGCCATACGCAAATTCAAAAAAATTTAATACAAGTGAAAACAAACCGTATGTGAAATAAATGGAAAAATCATAAACAATTAAACTAAAAATAAAATCTCATCTTTTTTAAAAAAAAATTTAATCATCCAAAATCTCTTAGTATAGAAATTTATTTAAGCAAAAAAGTTCGACTTGAGCAAATATTTTTTCTTTTCTTTAAATTTAAAAAATACTTAATTACAACAACGTATTATGTACATACATAATAATCATGCAATTAAACACGAGAATGGAATTAAACCTACCTTGAGTCTGCCATCACGACGCGCTGCACCGACTGAATTGATTTTCGACACAAACACACCCTCATCGGTGGGATCAAGTGGATTGCCGCGCTGACCATTAAGACCACCTTTAATGTGCATGCCCAGACGTTCGCCTTCAGTTTTACTAATGATGATTTCCTGTGATTTACAACAGTACAAAATTACATATAAAGCGAATATATAAATATAAGTATATACTTGGATACGAAGATATAAATATTTATATCTAAAAGAAAATGCCATTGCAAAGTTCATATGTAAATATATATAGTAATTGTTGACGGGTGTACATTGGAAATGGAAAAATTAACAAATATATAAGGAGTAGTAAAGCAAATAAATAGAATAAATATATTTTAAAGAGAAATATGACAAGAAAGAAGAAGCGTACGTTCACTATGATTTGCAATGTCAATATTCGACGACACAATTGATTTGGGCACGTTGTTCAAATATCACAAAAACTGAATGACAGACAAACAGACGACTAAATCTAAGTCGTAAAAAGCCGCAAAAATAGTTCTGATTACAGTCGAATTTTTATACATGACATGATCGAACCAAGAATGATAATTTCATTTGGTTTTAGCCAATGTTTTACAGTTGGTTAATTGATTAATTGGCGCTTTGTAAGCGCTGAAACGATTTTCGGCCGAGCTCTTTATCCAACTTACGCTTTTATTTCAAATCAGAAAAACACTTGGAGGGTTTGACTTTTCTTGCCGAGCGGCCACCGCAATTTAAAAAATTAACTTACTTTTATTATTAAAATTCGTTTCGATGTTGGTCGGACTAGTACGCAATGATAATCAGTCGGCTATGGCGACCTCAATAAATTTAAGTTATGATGCCAATATATATCAGGACATTTTAATTATTTTTTGGGTCTTTTTTATTTTCATTCGCGCTTCTGAGAGAAATTTAAATGAATGATTTATACACATAAAGGGTGATCCATTTCGAGGTTCCCTATTTTTTTTTTAAACAAAAGGCAGATAATTCAATTATGATGGGGAATGTTTATTATCATTCGAAAAAAAATTCCTTGACATTTTTGTTTTTAAGATTACAAATGCAGGCGGCTACGTCTCAGATGATTCATAAGTTAAGTCCAACTTTAGACGAATCGTTAGAGCATTTCGACTTGTAGCTGACGAATGAGACGCGCGATATTTCGCTCCAAGGCCTGAGTCGAAACGGTGACTTTACATATAACCACAGGAAAAAGTCTAACGGTGTAATATCAAACAAGATCGGTGGTCAATGGACCGTGCACAAACGTGCAATTATCTTCTCAACAAAGTGTCATCTCAATAAATCCATTGATTGATGCAAAGTGTGGGAAGCGGCGCCTTATTGTCGTAACCAAATCACGAAGTTCAATTTCAGGCATCAAATATTCGGTTATCATGACGCGATAACGGTCGCCAATGACGTTTACGTTCTCACAGGTATCATTTTTGAAGAAATTGTTGTTTCTTCTGGATGAAATGGCAACCCTTCAATCTCTTGAGGTTGCTCTTCATCACAAAAGTAACAGTTTTTCTTTTTCACAAACCCATTGAGCCAGAAATGGGCCTCATTGCTGAACAAAATTTGGCTCGAAAACATCGTATCTGTTTGGAACTGTTCAAGAGCCCATCGAGCGAAGCGATATCACTTGGGTAAGTCCAGCGGCTTCAGTTCTTGCACAAGCTGTATTTTGTGCGCTTTCAATTTAAGATATCAACGTAAAATGAGCCAAGTCGTTACATACGTCAGTTGCTGCGAACGGCGCCGAATTAACTCTTCACGGTCTTCGTGTAGACTTTCAGCTCCTTCCGCTATATTTTCCTCACTGCGTATTGGCCGTGGTCTATTCGGTCGAATATTAACCAATAATGAATGCTGGTTCTCGGGTGATTATGTTGTGAATAGTACGCGCCGTATGTTGATTACTTTGACCATAAATTGATTGAAGCGCACGAAACACAGTCTTCACAGAACGTGAATTTTCGTAATGAAATGCCAAATAGTACTGAGCAAAAATATCATGACAGCTTGACACGACTCACGCGTGATCTGTCAAAAGAGACTATTGAAAAAAGTACCTCTACTTGGATCACCCATTATAAGTAAACAGTGCGTACAAAATGTAAGAGTGAGTAAATTGAAGAATAAAAATGCATTTTGAAATTTTAAAATTGTAAAAAATATTTCGCAATAGTATGTGCCATTCAGATAATTGTTAATGTAGACTGTTCAAGCATTTCGTATTAATAGAAAAGAAATGGTGTTCTTAATTAAAAAACTTTATAATTGAAAAAACTTGAAAACACAATTTTTTTTCTGTCACGCGTAAGAGGTTATATGCAATTCCGATAATAACGACAACTGAAAGCAATTCAAACATCTATTTTTTAGAAAATAAAACATACCATTTAAATTTTTTCATAATACACTTAAATTTATGTACGAGGTGTGTTCAAAAAAAATCGCGAATTTTGTGTTTTTTTTTTCAAAAATGATTTATGTATTCATGAATATCTATTTTGTCTCCTTCAAAGTAATCCCCATGAGATATTATACACTTGTGCCAACGGTTCGAAGCACTTCAAAAAATATTTTTTTTTATCTTGTTCAGCTCCTCCTTCGATGCCGTCTTTATCTCGTCAATCGTAACGTAACGTCGTCCTTTCACGGGCGTCTTCAGTTTATGGAACAAGAAAAAGTCACAGGAGGGCAGATCTGGGGAATACGGTAGCTGCGGCATCCTTAGTGTGTTGTTTTTGGCCAAAAAGTCGCACACAGGCAACGATGTGTGAGCAGGGGCGTTATCGTGGTGCAAAAGGCAATTTTTGTTCTTCCACAAATTCGGGCGTTTCTGGCGGATTGCTTCGCACATATTGCGCATAAGTTGCAGGTAATATTCCTTATTGACCGTTCTACCCTGTGGCATGAACTCATAATGCACCACGTCCCTGCAATTAACTTTTTCGTCTGTTGTTGTTGAAGTGCTCGGGCGTCCGGCACGCTCTACGTTCTTCACATCTTCTCGGCCTTCTGAGAACATTTTACACCAGCGATAAACGTTGCTTCGGTCCAAGGTAGCTTCTCCGTATGCCACAGTCAACATTCGGAATGCATCCGCGCACTTAGTTTCGTTTTCACACAGAATTTGATACAGGTTCTTTGATCCATTTTTTTGAATAGGTAAAAATCGAAGACCATCCAAAACACGTGCAAGCAAAGCAGCTGTCAACAATTAAGTGAACATTCAAAATGGCCGAGATTGTCAGCATAAGTGACAGACATGAGTACCAAAATAACGCCACAAAAAAATCGAAATTCGATTATACGTAACCCAGGAAGATTCAAAATCCGGGATACTTTTTGAACACACCTCGTTTATCTATATTCGGACAATGGACTTTAGCTGCATATAACCCCTTAAAACCACAGTTTGGCAAGTGTCAAGAAATGCCCAAACTCAACAGCCAAACATGAGTTCAAAACACACAAAGTATTGATTAATGAATAATACAGACAAAGATCAGCTTACCTCAGTCTCTAATATTTCTACCTCAAACTTGGATATATTGCAATTAAAAAAGGAAAAAAGTGTAAAAATTTTGCAATAGTGAGAGAAAATAGCTATAAGCAATTATTTTGCAGTTTTAGCGTATTGCAGAAAAATTTCGCTTTGCTACGAGAATTTAAATTGCCGCTACTGGTTAGTTTTAGTGTAACTACTTTTATTAGAAGCGTAAACGAAAATTGTTAATAAAAAATTAGTAGCTGAATTCGAAAACTCACCTGGAAGCCAGGAGGTAAAGGATCGTGCTGAATTGTGAGTTTGATGTCATCGCCTGGTTTCAGCAGCTCCATTACAGCATCTTGGTGTGTAGCATGTGAGATATCGACGTCATTCACTTTCAAAATTCGATCGCCCATTCGTAGTTTGCCACTCTTATGTGCAATACCATCAGGCACAACCTGCAATGAGACAAAATAATGCGATTGAATTACTTTTTTTTCTTTTAGCTTATCTATCTATTATATATACGAGTATGTACATATATAAACGTTTGTACTACTCTGTGATCTCCGAAATTAACAGGAGAACTACTACTCTTCTCTTCCGGAACTGTTCCGAAAAAAATTATTTATGGCTCAATTTTCTTGATATTCGGTGCATAGGTGTCTTTTTATTTAGATTAGCAAGAAGACTATTAGTCCTCCGGGATCTAGTCCAGAGCCCCACCTATTCGAAAACTCGAATTACTTAATATTTGGTATATAAGCGGTTTTTTGGCTAGATTAGCAAGAAGATTACTTGTCTATACGTCTGATACCCCGATCTTGGTTGGGCCAGTATTACGCGAGACACTCGAGGCAGCCGATAACGCCATTCACTGGAAGAGCGTTCAAGAAGGAAGTGACAAACTCTCGTTGTATGACCTTTAATGCCTGTCGGTAAGCCGTTGTTGTTGTTGTTGTAACCGCAAAATTATTCCCCAAAGTACATTTTGGGGAATATTGCGGGAGTGACAGTCCTTGGCCGGATAAAAATCCGGGTCGTTCCGGTGTAAAGATCCGACTGTGGCGTTAACTATTGGATTTTAGTCGCCTCTTACGACAGGCATGCCTTACCGCGGGTAAATTCTTGAGCTCCTAACCCGCAGGGGTTGTCGGTAAGCCGTCGTACCAAGCGGTTGTTAAAATCGAGTATTCCCATGCTGATGTGCTCGTTGGTGGTACATCATCTAGTAAGTGTCTGTTGGAGTGCTCCCTACGGTTCTTTGTTTTTTCCCTAGGTGCTGCCGGCTAGTGCATTGAGGATTTTGCTGCTCTGAAGTTTTTCGGCAACTGCGGTCGTATGCGGAGTGAAGGAGTGGAGGCTGTCTATGGTGACTTCCAATATTTTTGGGTTTTTTAGTCGGAAATTTTACGTAATCAACTAGTACTCGAGTGCGAGCCGGTACTCCTTCGTTCAGCTGGCGAAGAGGGTTGGCGAGGATTTTGCTGGTTGTAATTGTATTTGTCTTGCAGTGAAGAAGTGGGAAAGGTCTTCGATATAGCAGCTCACTTTCGAACATAAGTCATCAGTGAAATTCGTTCCGATGAACGAGGTTGCTTCTGCTAGGCGCAGATGATATGCGAAAGTCGGGTGCAGCAAGTACTGAAAGGTTTTCGGCCGCTACGACGCACTTTTTGAGTGGTTTCTTTAGTTTTAGTAACCGAAGCGCCCTACTGTTGCACTTTCGGTGACCTAACCCTGTATAGGTCAGCAGGTAACAATTCAAGCACATGACGCTTACATTCGTAATATTAACTAATATTATTTTAATACGTAATATTTTACACGCCTACAGTTTTAAGCATATGCAGATGAATATATAAATTTATTCTGACAACAAATGGTAAAGAAAGGTACCTACTATATAATATGTAATATATGGAAGTCTTCCATATTCCATATGTAAAATTGTTTCTGAACTCTCATTGTCGCACATTCAATTGTACAGCACGTTTAAAATACTATTAAACTACTGATTTAAATTAAAAATTTTATAATTGCTGCAAATAAACTTTAGGAAGGAGTATGAAAAGAGAGTCTGCAGCGTGCATAGTCAAGTCATACACTTGAAGCTTCCTCCTCTACACTGATATTAAACAAAACTCTATATAATTCCGCAATATGGTCGTGATTTAATTTATTTGGCGCACTTGTGCCTCCCATCCTCCCAACTCTCTCATGCTAAATTAATAAAATTTGCCAATGAAGAACAAAGTTTACCTAGTCGCTAGTAAATAAAAGTGAAGTAGCCAACTTTTAATTGCTTGAGAAGTGCATAGGAAACACAACATATTTTTCTAAAGTTGCACAAAAATTTGCTTTTGTTTTGAAATTGTATGTATTAGGGGCGTGTCGAGTGCAGCTAAATTTTCGGGCCAAAATTTATGATAGGACTGAACCAGAACTAGGACCCAGCAGCTTCTTAGAAATAAATAATTAATAATAAAAGCGGGTGGTCTGGCGGTAAGGAAAGTAAACTTTATAAATTAAACTCACATTGACACTAAGGTCGAACTCATGAAGAGATTTAACTTCATAGTATTCATGGCTGATACAAAACAAGATCACGTGTATCGAAGATCGTAGAGGCTAGCTATTGATGGTGAGTTTATAAAGTTTTTAAATTAGCTTTGTTCATGAAATTTCATTAGTCAAGCCGTTTTCTAAAGTAGTATTTTGAATTTATTGTAGATATTAGTTCGTACTTATTTCACTCATCACTCACTCACTTACGCAAAATTCTTGGATATTAAGTGTGTGGATTCTCCTTGATTTTTTGAAACTTTAGTAAGGCGATTGGAAATTTACTTAAATAATTTTTGTATGTAGTTTTTCGGAATCTCCTGCCAGTTTGACAAAATATCAATTTTTAGTTCCTCTACAACAGAGTATTGTTTATTTTCTGCCTAAACTTGTCTTGCCAAATATCGCCAACAATTTTCAATAATACTGAGATCAGGTGAACGTGCAGGCCACTGTTAAAGGACTTCGCTACTCTTGCTGGAATATCATGGGACATTCTGGAAATTGTTCTCTCTGAGATGCTTATGGCTGTTAATTATTGACGGAACAAAATTTACTTCAGTTCAGCAATTCCAAGATTTCCTTTCTCAAATCGAGGTGAAGTATGACTAACCAGCTGTGTCGTCTAGTTTAAATTTTTTTCATCTGCAAATAGTTCACGACGGCATTTTTTCTTCCATTTGACATGACTTTCAGCAAACTTTAATCTCGCTTCGCAAAGCTTCACTGTAAGTGTAAGTGGGCGTTTTCGGCGCATGTTTCGACTATTTTCTTTTTTTCTGCACAAAGATTTAGAGCAATTTTTACCTCTGTACTATTGAGGAGCTTTCCACGATCCATTTTGTTTATTAATTGTAGTTTCACAAACTAAATATTCTGTTCAGAAAATTTTCGGCTAATTTTTCAAAAACTAGCTGATGCTTTATTGGCGGTTAAACAGTAACAAAACATAAATTTACCAATTTGTCCTATCATTTTGACGCGTCATAAACAGTAATTTTCTTCGATTTTTTTAAACTAAATAACCGTTATGTTCACAAAACCAAGAGTACTGTTGTCACTACAGTTACCACAATGAAAAACAAAATCTTTGCGTATATATGAAGAGAAAATTTTGTAAAAATTTAATTGTGCTACACTTTTGTCTTGGACTTTATATATGAGAATCGTATGATTTTGATAATTTGCGGCAAGTGAGTAGAATACAAAATTTTACCGTCTGATCTCATTGGTTTCGCCAAATGACTAACAAATTACAATAAATATATTAAAATAAAAGAAAGAACACCGAATTCAAAAATATATTTTAAAATAAATTAAAAACAATAATGATTGATAATGCAAGCATTATTCTGAAAAAAGTTATACCAGTTAGTTACCCAGCTTACTTTTAAAGTTGTAAAAATGAAATGAAGAAAATATTTTTAATTCCGAAAAAAAGATAGACAGAGGCATACATTTTCAACTATTTTCACTTCAATTCATTTTATAATCTTTATTGTTAAATTAATACTAATTAGAAATAAAAAAGGACTAATTTTCACCAAGTATGGCACACTTCATAAAAACAGCGCGCTTTTTAACTCGCCAGCTCTTCCCACTAATGTTCAATTGGGTTCAGTTCAGACGATTGGGGTGGATGCGGGAGTGTATATTTATTGTAGTGTGCAAGCGGTGTACTTCGGATCATTGTCATGCTGATATGTAAATTACTCTGGCAATTTAAGTTTTTCGGCACTTTTTTCGACATTCCTCTTAAGAATTTCCATATAGTAGTTTTTGTTCATAACGCCGTCAATGAATTCCAGCTCGTCCACACCTGCAGCGCACATGCAACCCCATACAATGACTCCTCCACAACTATGTTTTATAGTCGCCGAAAGGTTCTCTTTTTGAAGTTCAGTGTTGGGTTTTCTCCACACAGTTTGACGGCCATAAGATTGAAAAATAATTTATATTGATACTTTCACCCGAGAAGAGTGCATTGTCTCAAAAGTCAATTGATTTGCTTAGGTACTCCTTAGCATAGGCTAAACGTTTCTTTTGTTTCACTCATGGGATTTGTGTCATGCAATGCCCTCCGGACCGTTATCGGATGAATATCCATGCTGTCTCCATGCTTTCATAATTTAGTTAAGACAACAGCTGGAGCCTAATGGCCATACCAGCGAAAAGAGTTTGTAGAACGGTTGCTGATTTTCGAATTTTCCCCTTGATGGGTGTTTGTTATTTGTCGCCAAAATTGACGCTTTTGTGGTTCTGAGAACCCACATGTGAGTGTTGAAAAAAAAAATCGGGATCGTGGTTCAAGAATTTTCCCGCGGTAAAGCATGCCTGGCGTAAGACGTGAGTGAAATCTAAAAGTTCCTGCTAAAGTCGTGTCTTCATACCGGAACGATCCCGATCCATTTGAGGACAACAACAACGTGTAACTGTTCGGTGTGGATTTCGGGCTTGAAAAGGAATGAATAATTATGGAAAATTTCGACAAACAACTACATAAATGGAAAGCCATATTTGTCCGATGTGTTATTCCATAACACCGTAAACCGATCAAAAGTACTTTACGGTTCAATAAAAAAAAAAATACAGTCGAAAGACTGACAACTGTGTTTTGTATTAATTAATGTAATAGATTAATATTAATTGACTTACATGTGATATAAATATTCCCGGCTCGTGTGAACCGAACGGCACACACGAATGATCTGTACCGCCAATGATGCTGAATCCTAACGATCCTTTATTCTTCGGCAAGATTACTTCCTATAAATTGATTAAATTGAAAAAATTCAAAAATATGTATGCTGCAATGTTATTTTATAATAATATTTACAAAATCTTTCTTTTCTTTAATTTTTTTTTGTATCTTTTACAATAAACAAAAATCTAAAATTTTGACAAGACTTTCAAAAAGCGCAATGAATATTGTTGATGATGTGTGCGAAAATTGTTGGTGATATTTACAAATAAATTAAAAAATGTCATGTTAATAAAATCATAAATTATATTTAAGTTCTCTGCAGCGTTTATAATGTATTTTCATGCTGCGGATTTGTGTACAAAAACAACGTGCATGAAATTTGTATTATGTAAATGTAAGGATGAATGTGTGCGATTGCATGTGATTAGTAATATAAATTAGTTGTGTATTATTAACAAATGGTTATATGAAGTATAGTATATAGTCTGATATATGTAATTAAGATCAGAATACCTTAGGAGATAGTGCTATGTGCATATGTATGTAAAATATTGTTAATTTTTTTTTTTTTTTGGGAAAATAAACATTTTACCTAGACACGAAAAACAAAAAATGAAATATCATCGCATTTACTCTTATAAGTTTAGAATTCATTAATAATGATACTACGTAAATAAAGCATCCGCAACCAAATCGATAATTTAATGAACTCTTAATAAAAATCATGCTTTCAAGCAAAAAAAAAAAACTTAAATATTACTATTATTTCTAACAATAAATATTTGTAGGCCAGACCAAAATAAAAAAAATATATATTTGAACTTGTTTGCCTCTTAACCACTGTGGCAATATTGCAAAACCTGACGTTCGATTTAAAGATGTGGCAACTTTTGACATTTGATTTCCGAAGCCACTGAAAACTGTCATTCAAAAATTTTACAAAGCAATATTATTATTATCATTATTATTTGAGGCCAATATGTAATATTAGGTCAAGTAAAAAGTTCGTTCGGTTTTTATTGATTTATCAAATTATCACAACTTTGTGTATATTTGTCCGATTTAAATCAAATATGCGCCGTTTTGTTCGTAAATTATAATTATACCCCTCTCGTAGAAGGCTGCGTCCCTATTAACAAAAAAAAAAAAAACTCGTAGAACCAATTTTCACAGGCCTCCATTAAGAGCGTTCGCCATGCACAGAAAGAGATGGTAATCACTTGGTGCCAGGTCCGGACTATAAGGTGGGTGCATTACGACCTCCAATCCGAGCTCCTGGAGTTTCTGGCGCGTCACCAAAGACGTGTGTGGCCTGGCGTTGTCCTGATGGAACACAATTCGGCCTATGTTGATCAAAGTTGGCCTCTTCTGGATGAATGCTGCCTTCAAGCGATCCAGTTGTTGGCAGTGGAGGGCCGAATTGAGCGTTTGGCCATATGGCAGCAACAGATGATTCCTTGCCAGTCCCGCCATACGCACAGCAAAACCTTCCGGGCCGTCAATCAGGTCTTGGCCTCCGTCTGGGCCGCTTACCCGAGCTTTGTCCACGACCGTTTGCGCTCGATGTTGTCGTAAGTGACCCATTCTTCATCGCCAGTCACAATCCGCTTCAGAAACGGGTCGATTTTCTTGCGATTCAGCAGCGATTCGCAAATGGAAATTTGGTCAATCATGTATTTTTGCGTTAGTTCGTGTGGCACCCAAACATCGAGCTCCTTTTTGAATTAAAGGTTATGCAATGGAACCATTTGGTTTTCTAGTTTATCTTTATTTCTTCAGCAATTAAATAAGTGCTCACGTGACGGTTTGTTTCCACTATTTCCATGATTTTATCGCAATTTTCGGCGACAGGCCTCCCGACGCGTGGTGCATCTTTGACATCGAAATTACCGGAACGGAACCTAGCAGACGTTCGTTTACAATATCGGGTACATAAACTAAATTAATTTTTTCAGCCGCTTTAGCTGCTTTTTCGCCTTGATCGAAGAAACATTGTAAAATATAGCGAATTTTCTCATTGCTGGTGTCCATATTTGACGAGCGCTCACAACGTACTGAGTCAATCAATCGAAAAACTGTCAAAGACAAACTTTTAGCGCGAATAAACACGTTTCAAGCGCCGTATAGTATGACATGATGCGACATGTAACACTATGGACAACAGCGCCATCTCTTAGATAAAAACCGAACGAATTTTTTACTATACCTAATACTAGAGTTTAACCGTGACTTCGTCCTCATGGAATTTGAAATTCCTTGAATAATGTTTTATGTGGGCTTTTAAGATATTTAATTTATAGAAATAAAAAAAGTATTATATGAAATAGATTTCAGATACATTTTTATGAAGAAGAAGTTCTACACCTATCGCTGTATCTCTTTGCAAACAATATATTTAATTTTTCCATGAGGTAATAGAACCCCCACGCTACACCGCGAACTTACTCTCGAATACGCCACACATACAACTGATATTCTTAGCTATGTTATACAGATACGGGAAATCAACATTTCCTTTTTTAAACATTAGATCTGGGAACTGTACTGCAGTAAAACAACTTCTCTGAAACGAACTGTCATACTTTTGGTGAAAGTGAGTTTTTTTCACTGATGCTAAAAAATGAGATTACTTCAAGTGATTGGTGATTAGTGAATCTGCCGGAAATTGCCTACTAACAATACAGTAATTCCATCCAATTAACAATTTTCATTGTAATATCTTGTAATGTAATCTATTTACTGCTTCAAATTTTCCTTTATGAGCCATCACATTAATTTTTTAGATATTCTACATTCTATCACTTTATTTCCTCTTTTCTTATCGTTATTCCACTTCCCGTAAGAAAAAGTGTACCCCATGTCAATTGAGGCAGAGAGTTACCAAGTCATAAGCAGAACACACCCCACCTTTCAGGTCTCTACGATCAGTCGGTTGGACTTTGGGTTGATCCGTCAGTCGTTCAGAACAAAGTCGTATATATACATATATATATATATAGATAATAAATGCAGATTTTTTGACCTATAATGGTTTCCATAAAATTTCACTCCTTTACCTCCGCATTATTCTCCGCAGAAAATTTTAGCTCCTCGATTTTTTTTAAGGTTTGTCACTACGTTCTTTTAAAAATACAAATAATAAACTCGTACACATAGCGAGCAAACTATTGAAATATTTATATTAAGTAGCAGCTGAGTATCTGCAAAATGATTGCAAAAGAGTAATAGGGTTGCGGCGGGTATTGAGTAGCTTCAACAAGCTCGTTCTGCTTGTTTTTGTATATACATGGTGAACATATGTATATCCAAATACAGGGAACTACTATTTTTCCCCTCCTAGTCTGGATATATATTTATTTAAAAAAAAAAGATATAAAATGTAATTTTTCTCTATCGGTCGGGACTGAAACTTCGAGAATACCGGAAAACTGCCACTGAAAGGGAACAGAAATAATATAAAAAAGCATGCGAAGAACTCTAGCATTGTGAAAAGAGGCGCCTTTCGATTGCATTGGGCTTCATTTGAGGTAGACTTCATTTACACTATTCACTGCATGGAGATTCAGGAAAGTACATCCAACTATAGAGATTAAACTATATTGAATTCAATCTTGCAGATTACAGCAATCAGGATTTTAATTGGTTTTAAAAGGTTTTAGATGGCAGTCTGATTGTCGGGTATTCAAAGGTTATACTCCTCAGAAATAGAGTTTAAGTTAATGTCGTGACTGTGCCCGAATCGCTGAAACAGTTCCATGTCTAGTGCTACACTCTGATCGGGTCGTCATCAAATTGCGTGAATAGTCGAAAAGATCCGTCGCCATTAAGGAGAATGTTTAAATGAGAAGACCCTGGATCTGGCTCTATGCACCTAACTCCATAAGTGTGATAGTAACCGCTTCTGTTTCACTTGACTTGACAAGCATAGCATCTTATAATGAGCACACATTCGGCGGATGATAGCAGCTATGAGTGAACAACTTGAACAATCCAACAGCAAGGACTAAACAGGCAAAGTAGGCATGATCAAGCATCTAAATCGCCTCTCAGCCCTAAAAATTGCTCGAAAAGCAGCTGTTTTAATTGTCTTTAACAATAGTCAGCATCACATGTAACTGTTTGGTATATTTTTAAATTTTCCAACGTACATAGGTTGCCCAATTTAAAGCAGATTGTCGTTTCTTCATGGATTTCTGCATGGAATTTTTGCAACTCCACCGTTGTGCGTGCACAAAAACATTGTTTGTCTGTGAATACATTCATTTTACTAAAAACAAATACAATTGCAAAAATGGCGTATGCACATGTACCTACAAACATACATACATATGTATGTATGTATATGTATAAATCTTGTATTTATATCTTATCATCTTCTCATTTATTCAGAGTAGAATGCAGTGCAACAAAGTTCATATGAAATCAAAATATATGTACGTATGGCATATGGCGGCCGCAGTAGCTGAGTGGTTAGCATTACGAACAGTCATCCGAGGGGCTCGAGTTTAAATCCTGCTACGACCAACATCCAAAAGTTATAGAAAATAAATTTAAATAAAAAATTAAGTAAAATTTTCTAATTGCGGTCGCCCCTCGGCAGGGCATGTCAACCTCGTCGAGTGTATTTCTAACATAAAAAAAAAACACCTCATAAAAAACCATCAGCTGTTCGTAGGCGGGTTAGTATAAACTGTATGTCCCTCCGTTTGTTGGAAAAACATCAAGCCACAAAACCACAAATTGGAGCTAGAGCTCGGCCGAAAAACGCTTCAGCGGTTATAAAGTGCCAATAACATATGCATGTGCATATGTGCATTTACTTGACTGATGAATGCTGCTTGTCTACTTGGCACACGCACATATTGCATCTGGTATCTGCAATATACCACGAAAATGTGTCACTTCAGGCATAATATAGTTAAATATTAAATATTGACAAAATGAGCTTTGCTTCGAATTACACGCCGTTTCCACTCTTTATGTTAACTTTACAAAGAACGAACGAGTACGAAACTTAAGTAAAGTATGAAATATGGAAAACTTTTGTTAATAATATTAACAA